TATGACTTTCATCCCAAAAGGAAGAATTCTTTGGTGGGGCCCAGATTCTTTTTGATGAATCTTTTATTTTATGGTGATTATGGCTAGTCACAAAAAGAAGGTCTATTTTGTCTATGCTCCAGGGATGACCTGCATCTTTCTACTCTGCTAATTAAAAATCTACTAATTAAACCTTTTCCTTCTGGGCTTTGAAAGATACATTGTGCAAGTTGTTAGCCAAAAATGAATGTTGCCTCACCTTCTCTGGTTCAGGGACCTTCATTCTTTCTCAGACTTCTGCCTTTGAGCTTTCTATCCTCCAAAACATGTTTGGAATCTTTGTGAGAATAAGAAGTTTTTTTTTTTTTTTTTTTCCCCCTGTTTTAACTTGAAACAAAATAGCTAATGAAAAGAAAGGTCTGCTTTCTTCTAGGGTTAATGTAAATTTTAGTTATCTTTAAAGCATTTCATGAAAATGAGGGGAAAATTTGGTCTGCAACAATAAAAATCCAAAACACTGTTAGTACTGAAAAAGGAAAAGAGCTGCTTCACAAGCCTTTTGTACCGTATTCTCTTATATATGTGGAGAATATAGTTCCGTAAGTAATAGAGTTTGAAGGACAGAAATACCCTGAATTAGCCTATGACATCCAATTTTTCATATTTGTTATCCATTTAGTATCAGTCATAGTTAACCATTGTAAAATCACATTGTTATCTTTCTTTTGTTCTTATTTTCATGGAGAAGGATGTTCTTTATATGATTGATAGTTTTACAACAATAGTCACAAATTCTGCATTTAATTAATGCTAGTGGATTACTAGGAGCTCTGGTAACATAGTTCCCAAGGCTGGCTAACCAGAAGGCTGGCAGTTAAAGCCCACCGTTCACTCCTTGGAAGGAAGATGGGGCAATCTACTTCTGCCTCGGATACTGCCTCAGAAACCCAAGGAAGAGTCACTATGAGTCAAATCTGACTCAACAGCAGTGAGTATAGCAGTGAGTTTGAGTGGATTACTGTTTATTGTTTTAATGTACTATGCTACCTTTTAATATTTATCTATTTTAAATATACTGAGAAAGGGAAAACAAACATCCATCAATAAACTTATGATTGATGAGATAATTTATCTTGGAAGGCTATTTCAATAATTATTTACAGTTTAGCTCTAGTTACTATATTTTAAAATTTCTTTATTACATATGTACTATTACTTCTTGTGAATTTAAATTCCTATCCAAATCCTTTTACATAATTTTATGAATCCTATTAACTTCCTTTTGATTCTATCAGATTATACAACTATAAAATCTTATATATTCATAAAAAAATATTTTGTCTTTTCCTTTCCAAAGTAAGCACCCACTAATTGTATTTCTTATCTTACTGCATTAGCATAAAATACTGTTGTTGCCAAGCTAACTGATTTTCAAGAATGACTTAGATCTCTTAAGAGTGCTACATAACTTGTCCAGTTGCTTTTTTCAGCAAGAGGGAGTCAATGACATCATTAAGTTTTATGTTCTTTAAGAAAAAGAAAGGGAAAATCTAGATTTTCAGACTATATTTAACTAACACAATGGGGTTCTATGTAAGGAATGATTCAAAGCTTCCAATATCAGCAAGAATTCTGCACACATAGTCTTTTGCATAAGAGCTCTGGTGGCATACATAAGACATATGACTGTTAACCAGAAAGCTGGCCATTCAAACCCAACAGCCATTCCTTGGAAAGAAGGTTGGACAATCTACTTCTGTAGTGATACTGCCTCAGAAACACAAGGAGTGGTCTCTATGAGTTGCTATGAGTTGATGACTGAGTTTAAGTGTACCCACTACCACTAGGCCATCAATTCGTTTTTCTCTGGTGGTTTGCATGTTTCTGTGATGCTAGCAACTAAGCCACCAGTATTTCACATGCCAGCAGTGTTACCCATGCTGGACAGGTTTCAGGGGAACTGAAAAATTAAGACAAACTGGGAAGAAGGATAGGGCCAGGCTTACTGCTGAAGGAATTGGCCACTGAAAATTTTTTCAATATCAGTGAATTATTGTCTGATATAGTGCCAGAAGCTGAGCTCCTCACATTGGAAGGCACTCAAAATATGACTAGGAATGAGCTGCCTCCTTAGAGCAGACCTTAATGACGTGTAAGAGGTAAAGCTTTCTGGGCCTTCATTTACTGATGTGACACTCAAAATAAGAAGATGCAACTAGAAACATCCATTCATAATTGGAACATAGAATGGCTGAAGTATGAATCTAGGATAATTGGAAGTTGTTAAAAATTGAATGGAACATGTAAAGGTCAATATCCTAGGCATTAGTGAGCTGAAATGAACTGGTATTATTTTGAATTGGACAATCATATGGTCTACATGCCTAGGATGACAAGTTGAGGAGGGATGGTGTTACATTCATTATAAAAAAGAATATTTTAAGACCTATCCAGAAGTACAATATTGTCA